GCGCAATTGTGTGACAAGACGTAATCCACGAAAATACACTCACTCACATTTTTGCTGTGATGGATTTCGCATTCTGACATTAGTCAGAGCTTTTGGAGGTATCTTTCAGGTGTTTATATGTTGTTTGAATATTATAAAGCGAGTCATCTAACACTTCTAGTCATGTTTCCTACAAAAGACGGCGCTTTGTATTGTTCTTTGATCGAAACCAATTACGTCATTTCATCCTGTGAGGGAGCCGAGTTATGAGATTAATAATACCTTACCATTTGATAACAAAATGCACCATGCAGCTTTAAAAATGCGTTGATTTCCACTTAACGCACATTATTAGCCACAAGTTTTGACGGGCTGCCGGGAGTCGGTTGTGAAAATCAATTGATACGTCGACGTTTCAAGCTAGGTTGGGTCGAATTAGCAGGGCACCAGAAGCGGGCCAATTTTAGACATCCATGCGCGAAAGTGAACGCAGCAAAACTTGGACAAAATTGTTACAGTACGAGAGGAAATTCTTGAAAGCCTAAAAAAAGGCAGGAAGCCTTCAGTTCGACATTACTATGTGATCCGATTTAACTTTTTGTTGTATTCCTTACATAGCGTAGATATTACTCGCACCTGTTAGGTACGATAAACCGCAAGTGGTTATCTTGTTCCAAAATCGAGTCAACCAAAAAAAAAACATTATAAGGAACTATACCAAAATAGGCAGGCAACTTTAAAATCTGCTTTGCTTGTCACTCGTCGACACGCACTTAACGCATATTTGGACGCGCTACTCAGCACTGTTTGCCTATTGCCGTTTCATTCTCAACGTATTGATCCATAGGCTGACAAAGTTGGCCGTTGCTAAAAGTTGGATAGTAAAGTTTAGAGTTGTGTAAAAGTTTATCAAAAATGGTGCAGTAATGACTTCAACTGGAAACATAACCATCACACTTTTATGTACATTAAGATAGGTTACAGATCGTTGTCGTTGTCACTGTTGCTTTACGGCTCACTTAGCTGCTGAGGCTATGTGGCGTCACATGCCTCTTACCCTGGCAGGAAGGGCGGGCACCGCAGGGACTCGAACCCCGTACCTCTGGTTTCCTCAGAAGCACAGGAGTTCACCGGATGCGTGTACCAATGCACTTTCGGCACCCACAGATAGCTCATGGAGAATAAACAACTTGCACCGACCTTTACAGCCATGGTCAAAATTTTGTATTGGCTCCAAGATTCAGCGACCCATCACAGGAAATTAGGTTTCAAAAGCAAAGCCAATGTTAAGTCTATGGGACTACGACTGATAAAGTGATTTCTATCAGTGCGTCTCGGCAATATAGCAGTCGTTGGCTATGACGTAAAACACAACCCAACGCACGAATCTGGTAGCGTGATTCACATAGCTCCGTAACCTTTCCCTTAAAAATTGAAAAGTGTTATTAAGCTTTATATTTTTGCTTGATGTGCCCTCTATGACAGGACACCATTACTTAACTTCAAATCTCCGGGATTTTTATTCTCAACTCATTTACAATCAAAGAAAAAACAACAGATACCGAATCAAATCAAGCACTACAAGCTATAATGTAATGGAAATATGTCGAGATGTAGTGATACAAATATGAACGCATAATGTGTTTATCTTCTCAAACGTTTGGCGTTCAACTGTATTATGAACACATAAGACGTGTTTATCTTCTCGTACGATTGCTAAACATCATATTAAATATTTAAGGTTGCAAAGTTAGCCAATCTTTAAAGAACCAATGACCGCGTTTCCTCAGAATTTGTTGCGAATCGGTCTCCAATTTAGAAAAGAGTCGAATGTTAGGTCTTAGTGCTTTGGTTGGACAGGAGCTGACCGGGTAACAAACAAAACACTTACTTCAAAAGATTCCTGGTGCATGCGGGCAGTCATGCTGTTCATAGCATTTGGCCAACGCACGGGAACCGACGCGACCGTTCCGGACGCGGCGGCCTGTGCAGCTCCCCCGCCTGGCGCAGCGAAGGAATGGGGAGGGCAGTCGTAAACAAGATGGTTATCACCCATCCCATCTGATCTGGCGAGGGGAGTCAGATGCTCCGAAATGCTGCCGGGCTGAATTCTACCAGGGCTGAGCCTCAAACCTTACCATGGGTCACCACCAATCATTACAATCGGCCAGGATGGCTCCTAAACAGAAGATCATTTGCCTCTCCGCTGTAACTGTGGCATCCAGCGCTGGTTAACGCGAAAACGTCTTATTGCTAGTGACACTATTAGCGCGCATTATTCCACCCTTCTGCAATAGAAAGGTGGTAGCACTGCGGTTGCTTCCACGCATTCCTGACACGGGAGATTTTACACGACTAATGCTTCTTCGGACAGCAGGTTTGTTCAGGGTCTTGAACTGGCATGTGTGAAATGTGTTCTGCTAGCAATACGGCCCCGGGTACTGGAGCGGCTTTGCTAAAATTTATGCCCTAGGCAAGTGGGCCTAATACGGGAGGATCGTTGCCGACGTCATCGGCGGACCATGCGCGTGTTCAGGTGGTTCTCGAGTCGTGTATGGATTTTCATCAAATCCAAAGAATGGCCCGTAATCCTCGCCCTGATTCATTGTTTTCCTAACGCGGACTGATGGGCGAGGTACGCGAACTCCCTCCCGTTTGCGATCAGAATTGGCAGAAAACACCATTGGTTTGGTCTCAGTGGCATTTCGCGACTGGTACTAGTTTTTAAGCCGTTGGTTTAACAATTGAGCCCATACTGGCAGTTCCAAGGTCGTACTTTCCAGAGAATTCCACCTTTTCAGCTTTGCAGCATTATGCATACAGTGAATTTCTTTGCGGCGCTACAAAAATTGAACAGACGTCTTTCTTGTTCCATTTTGAGCACAATGGTGTATTTTTGTGTTTCGAGCATACAGTTATGGCATATCGTTACGTCAATGTGACAATGTCGGTCCGCCGTGTGCGTTCCACAGCATCGTTGGTTGCTGCCCGTCGCACGCGTCGCTCGTGTAACGCCGTGCAGTTTTTCCACCAAAACCGCCACTGCTCCGAAACCAGGAAGTTAGGAACATGATTTTGGTGTTAAAGCATAAATTTGGATGCCTCACAGGTTACTGAAAACTTGGACGCGATCGCGCAACATGCCAGAGAGGCATCCTCAAAGACCTTAGGGGGTTGTATGATCCCCCCCCCCTGTTACCAGGGCGAGGGTTAAGGCACGTAGGAGAAAACATCTGACCTGAAAGAGGCTCAGGATAGTCCACATCACGCCCTACTGGTCGACAGGAGACCCGAAATGGTCTATTCTTGGCCCCATTACAAACACAGGAACCCCCGCAAACCCAGAAGGCACCCATTAGAAAGACCGGAGCACCCAATATGCCGGGCGAGGATTCAATTCTGTATACCTAAAAGTTTCGCAAACTCAACCTATTTTGTTCGACGAATGTGAACTTCAGTTCGCATGTGCCCGAAACCCACCCGTCGACACGTTGTTTTCATTCGTGAGCTGGTGCATGACCACCCTTTCTTCACAGTCAACGTTTCAGTGCAGCCATCAGACACCCTCCATCCGTCAAACCTATGGATTCCCAACAGCTCCCCAGCTCGTGCGCCGCACCGCGAGTTAGCCCACTCCTCGCTGCCGACCTTAGCCGGTGGCAGAGTTAATTGTCGCCGATACGCCGCCCAGCCGGTTCGCTTCATTGATTTATGGCCACCAGTACGCCGTCTTGCGTCCTGTCCCCAGTCGGTCTGACAGCTGCCCCACAGACGACGGCGCTAGCGTCCAGCTCCACACTCTTGCTCATTCATCCGGGTCGGCCACGGTGTGTTCTTCGCGTCAAATGGGTTTTAGGTGTTCCAGGGCCGTCCACAACTTACGTTACGCATTTACGGCCGTTTTCAGCCCTCCCTTCCCCGCTGTCACGCACTGTGATCCTTGGCAACCTCTTCCCTTCCCCCCTGGTAACTCTGTCTTAAACGTAACGATGATGTCGCCCACTCTGCCGATCTAACTACACCTTCCTTTATTTAAGTGGCTCGTCTGAGGCGTTCGTGCCAAGCGCACCTGATCAAACCACGTCTCTCGACGGATCCCATTGCCCCTCAATGCGATAGAAGCCTCACTTCCGGTGTACGCAGCTCTCACTCTGCATGTCATGCAGCGCGTTGTCATGACGGTTCTACCTGATCCGCAAAACAGACCCACAGTTTAGCACCAAGCATTCGTGTATCGGGCGACGAGGACTACTTTGGTCTTTTCAACGCACAATCTCCTTCATTTCAGTTCCCTTCACATCCACACACGACAAACGCATCGGCTGGGTAATGCTGTATTTCAAATCATCATCTGACAGAGTAAATAGGCTCGCACGACCTCCCCGCCGTAACACTCAGCGGCAAGCGCCCGTCTCGCTGGCCACGATGCCCCGGCCGGCTACGAAACATGCGACTGGCTGCGTGACTAAGAAGTGCGGGTCGGGGGGTGACTGCCAGCAAACGCAGATTTCAAGCGTCGTGCAGTACGTGACAGACAAATAGCCGAGCCCTGTTGAGCCCTGGGTTACCGGACTGCGTTGTTTCGTATCTAAGCGTGCTAAACGCCGCCAGTTTTAGCAAGAATCGCTACTAACCATGGTTCTCCCTCAGTAAGAATCCGTACTAACTGTGCTCGAGAACCAATTGTCTATTCCCATCGAAAGAAAATATATTCGCGACTTCCACTTCTATACAGCCTCACTTCCTCTGGTCAGCCTTGGGTAACCGGGCTGCTCTGTTTAGTACCTACAAGTACTGAACAACGCCACTTTTAGTTCGAGTGGTTACTAAATCCCTCTTAGCAAGGATACGTACTAAATATTCTCGACGATGTGCTTAATGGTCGATCGAGGAAAGATAATCGCAAAGGCTTCTAAAGAGTAAATGCTGCCATATCAAACTGCCATTTTCATATAAAATGCCGCAGAAGGGACGATTATCGGATAGCGCTATGCTCAGCTATGCCTGAGCTTTTATCGCTATATGGGTGTTATTCGTGTACTGGGATTTGCCTGCGGTGTTGTTACGGATTTCCGACGGACTGTGTTCGTGATGGATAATATAGCATTACAAGTAAGTCAGAAGCTGCTATCAACGAGATGATCATTTAGCACTAGGTTACGTCTCTTCAGGAACATGTACTTACAAACTAAATACTGACCACGTTTGCCGCTGTCCTGAAAGCGGTATGGCAGAGTACACTGCGAATTATGTTAGGATAACTGGTTCACCATCAGCCAGCACGTATTTAAGTGCGAAATTTGTATATTCATGAGCAACCACATCCCTCAACTGCATCTCTCAATGGCATCTCTCTATCATATGTTTAGCCCCTGTTGTGTCACCATGGTATTGGTCAAAATATCACTCCTGTGCATTCCATCTCACATGCTGCTGCACGCACATGCTCTTGTAGGTCACCATTTTCTTCCAGCTTAAACATGACTTGGTTTTCATTCACTGGCCTATGATCCATTCTTACCAGACCAAAAATTTTGGTTATGTGTCTATGTAATATGAGGTAGTCAAAATATGACCTTTTTGCATTTCAGGCTGATGAAGTTCAGGCATTGTCTGCAATATATGAACAAGAGTGGCAGGTCATCAGTGAACCATCCAGAATATATGCTGTAGTGGTTGGTGTTGATTCTGGGAAGAAGGTCACACTGGAGGTAAAATCCAGTTAGTTTAATCATATATAATCTTCTGAAGGTGATCAGCAGCAGTGAACTCCACACAGGTTGTGCAGTCATGAGATATGGCAGGTATCAATCATGTTGCTAGTTTGTGGTCTCCAGCAGCTGCCCACTTTTTTGATCATGGAAAATGTCAGGTTTTTGGCCACCCTGGCACCATGCAGCTTCATCCGATGCTGTCTGCCCCTCAGTGATGATGCTTAGAACCATGAAGCCCCTTGTTTACAGCAGGGGATGTCAGGTGATGACTTGCCTGATCCTCTGACCTGGTGTGACCCATCAGGTGACTCTGCCTTCTGACTATCCATTGGAGGCACCACCTCAGTACCAGCTGCTGGCCCCCTGGCTGCGGGGCAGCCTGCGGCACCAGCTGGGCAGCCTCCTGGACACTCTGTACTGGTCAGTGGATGATGGCCCCCGGGGCCCTGTAGTGTATATGCCGACACGACCACCTAAGCAGTCTGCATTTCACAGGTTGGTGGTGAGATGGGGGTTATGACATGCTGGATGGAACTTGCCACCACTCTAGATGGTCAGATGAAAAGACAGATATGAACATGGCTTTTTTCAGTGATTTTCTATGTCAGGCAGATGATGACATAATATCTGATCATCCTATTCAGCAGATTGAAAATTCTTTGCTTTTCAGGACCACACACAGGTTTTGAGGAGTGGCCCCACTGAGGCAAAAAATTATGGATGTTAACCCAATCCAACTGACATAGATACAGGTAACCTGGCTGATGCCAAGTATCTCAATATTTTATGTTTGTTGCAGGGAGAACATGGGTTCCAGTATACTGTATTTGTGGATAGAGCGGATCAAAGAATTCTTAGAAGACCTTCGTGATGGGGATGATAGTGAAGGTATGCCTCTCGCACTCTGCGGTTATCTCCGGGCCGCCAATGTTCGCGTGAGAAAATTGCTCTTCCGGGGCTTTGGGCTGTGGCTGATATTAGTTGGCTGCACTACATCCAGACATATGCTTTGTCAGACCATTTATTCCTTGCCAGTAGCTTATCTCTCAGTAACAGTGAACGTTTACACACAGGCTCCATCCACTCGTGTATGTTTTGTGACCCGTGTGTTTGAGTTTTGCAGCTGCTCATCTGGATTTGTGCATGTGTGTTGGCTTTGTTTTTGCGTTGTATGGCGAGTCTTTGATCAAGGCATGCCTGTCTTGTTCGATATTCCATCGTTCTTTTGTATTGCAACCGCATCCCCCTCCCTCAAACTCCCTGGATTTGCTCTGATGTCAGGAGTTGGTACTTTTCAGCTTGATGGGAGGGCAACTTTCCCGCTACTCCGCTAACCCCGTGGCGACGCCTGAACGTGCAGATCAGACCGCACTGTGTCCGTTACAGAGCCGGCGCCACCTGCCCCGGCCGAGACGCCGGCACTGCCACCTAGCGACGAGGACGCACAACCGTGTCCAGAGATAACGCACGGCGAGTGTATCATGGACAGGAAGAGCGTGTTCCAGGGCCATTGCGCCATCGTGCGGTCCGTGCAGCAAGTCCGGTGAGTGTGCGGTAAGCCTTTGAGTTGGGCACCGCGTGTGTCCGAACACGTGCGTCTGACACGTGCGCGGTTTGCCCGGCTGTAAACGTGTGAGCAACGCCCAGAAACCAGATGAAAGCAAGCTGGAAGTTGTTGGGTTAGTTTTGCGCTCGATGCCATTTCAACATTCTCAAATCTCTGCTACACGGTGATGGGCATGGGGTATAACATTTCAGCTAAGCACCCACGCGTCACTTTCAACCACGCGTTCCTTCAGGATGAGACAGAGAGAGACAGAGACAGAGACAGAGAGACAGCGGACAGAGAGACAGAGAGACAGAGACAGAGACAGAGAGACAGGAGAGACAGAGACAGAAGAGACAGAGACAGATACATAGAGAGGACAGAGACAGAGAGAGACAGGGACAGGGACAGGGACAGGACAGTGGTGACAGTGACAGTGACAGTGAGAGTGAGAGAGAGAGAGAGAGAGAAGAGAGAGAGAGAGAGAGAGAGAGAGAGGAGAGAGAGAGAGAGAGAGAGAGAGAGAGAGAGAGAGAGAGAGAGACGAGGCACAGAGACAGAGAGATATCACCAGCAAGTCTGCACACTTCAATGCATATCTGCCCCATTTTGTCGCCCGTCTCCTTGGTCACACTTCCACGCGCATCGCGCGCATCACAATGAACGCCCTTCCCTTTTCGGGTCTTTCGCCAGCGCCGGTCGGGTCAAAACTTGAGCTGAAGCCAACTGGCCCTGCCGGCCCGGTCGGGTCCCTGCCGGCCGGTGGGAGGAGCCGGCCGGCCGGTGGGAGAAGCCGGCCGGCCGGTTGGAGAAGCCGGCCGGTGGGAGAAGCTGGCCGGCCGACCAGCGGCGATCCAGTTTCCCCGGTTCGCGCCGCCAGATGCACTCCGGCCCCGAATTCCGGACGAGGCATCCCGGTTTTCCGGGCCGGGAAGCTGGGTGTAACCGGGCTTCAAACTTTTCAATGTTATTTTTAAACTCTTCAGTGGACCCGATGATCACGGGCCATTATAAGTGCATGATGCACTAAGTGATCGTCGACTGCATGGCTGCCTGGGTATGTTGTCATGGGCATGTTGAGTTTGCATTAATATTTAACATGGACATTTCTAATATATAGCATATTATATTTCTATATAGCCGTTGGAAGAAGGAAGCCTCTTGAAACCATTGACTAAATGAAGAAAGTTATCATTATGTCACTCGCAAAGTAATAGAGGCCAGGTCATGTTCTTTGTGTCACACTGTGCAGCGTCACCTCTTGGGAATCACGTCATGCCCAATGTACAAAGTTGGGCATAGAGCATGTGCGCACAAAATTGGCGAATAGGGGCCGGATATGACTAACAAAACCACAACAATGTCAAAGGCCCCACTGAAAGAATCATTCCCGACAGCGGACAGGTAGTTTCCCAGTTTGTAGTTTGTAGTTTTGTAGTTTGTAATAGTTTTGAGCAGTAGTTTCCCAATTCGGGGCGTATATTATGAATGCGAGCGATGGACGGATGGATTCGAATAGGCGTAAGAGTAAATTCACGGTCTTGATAGTCGCATGAATGCCCCAGCTAGACGATTCCAAGATAATCCGCCGGCAGAGCTCAACTCTGCACAGGTTGCCTGCCAAAGTTCTGTGGGAGTGAATCGTGGCCGGTATGTGACAGAGGACTTGCATGAGGCGGTGCCGGCGAGCCCCTCCCGCTGGGCGCCGGGGCTCGCGCCCTCACCGTGCCGTCCCCCAGGCAGGTGGTGGCCCGGCTCAAGGAGAATCGCAAGGTGGCAGCGGCGGCGCACAACATGTGGGCGTACCGGATAGGGGGCGCGACCAGCGGCGCCTTCCAGCAGGACTGCGACGACGACGGCGAGACGCACGCCGGCGCGCGCATGCTCCACCTACTGGAGGTGGGAGGGGCGGCCAGGCGCACGCCGCGGTCTGACGCGTCTCTAGCCGGCGGCGGGAGACGCCGACTGGCCGGCTGGTTGGCGTGAATTGGACACGACGTGGGGGGGGGGGGGGGGGTACAGGTGCAGCAGATGGTGCCGCGCAGAATCGCGGAGGCGCTTGCGCGATGGGTTGTTTTAAGAAGCTCATGGCAGAAATATGAACGTTACCCTTGCCTTTGTACCTAACCCGTCTGTTCTCGACTGGCGTTAAAGAGGTCGTTTAATATGAAAAGGAAGACGTGTGCTTCTTTCTTCTCATCGAGCACATTTGCGGGACCCGAATGTTCCATAAGCGCTAGGATGCATTGCTGGTTAAGATCATCATTGCAGCACAAGGCGCAATGTTTTGATCGGCGTGGCAATCTGAGAAATGCGTATTAGGATCTGATTTCCGAACCGCTTGCATGGATGGAACTGGACTCGGGAATGCTAGCTGTGATCATGACATGGCTGTGATCTTTTTATCATGGCATCGACATCGAGCGTGGCGACAATTGTACGCGCGACCCTTGGAAACTGCAGCTAAGCTAAGGTTTCGCCCATTGGCTTCGGAATCATCGCCAAATGCGACCCCGGTCTGAAGAATAACTTTGTCTCCATTGACATTCCTAGGATGGGTGTGGGAGATGCCGCGCTTGACAATGCTGCGGCACGTGGTCCCCGCAGTTCCCTCTGGTACACCGTCTAGCTCAAGTTTAAGCTGGCTTCAGTTTTAACGTGTCGCGTTGCTTAGGCTGCCTCAGCTGCTTGCTCTTGCACCGGCCGTGCCACATCTCAGCGGGCCGTCGAACGTCCACGCGCCGTTGGTCTGGCCCGTCTGTGTTTGGGACGTGCGCGGGCAGTAGGCCAGCGGACGTCCGCGTGCCGTTGGTCTGGCCCGCCTGTGTTTGGGACGTGCGCGGGCAGTGGGCCAGCGGACGTCCACGTGCCGTGGTCTGGCCCGTCTGTGTTTGGGACGTGCGCGGGCAGTGGGCCAGCGGACGTCCACGTGCCGTTGGTCTGGCCCGCCTGTGTTGGGACGTGCGCGGCAGTGGGCCAGCGACGTCCACGTGCCGTGGTCTGGCCCGTCTGTGTTTGGGGACGTGCGCGGGCAGTGGGCCAGCGACGTCCACGTGCCGTGGTCTGGCCCCGTCTGTGTTTGGGACGTGCGCGGGCAGTGGGCCAGCGGACGTCCACGTGCCGTGGTCTGGCCTGTCTGTGTTTGGGACGTGCGCGGGCAGCAGGCGGAGCGCTGACCGCCGTCCCCGCTGCCGCAGATTCTGGCCCGTGCAGGACGTGGTGGTGGTGGTCAGCCGGTGGTTCGGCGGCATCCTGCTGGGCCCCGACCGGTTTCGGCACATCAACAACGCCACTCGGGGCGTTCCTGTTGCTGAGCGGGCGTCCTCCGCCCGCCCGAGGACAAGAAGAAGCACTAGCCTGACACCTTGGCGGTCGCTGGCGGAACCAGCTCGTGCGGCCCCGCGCCCGGCGATGCCGGCTGGGCTGGCTGTGATGTGGTGATTGTTCGTTTACCGGTGGGCTGCGTATACCGGTGTACTACGTCTTCCGCATTACGTGCAATGCGACGGTTTTACTGATGTACTGTTACATGACAGTGTAGCTGATGGCATGGCTGCGGTCGGGCTTTGATATATTTTTACCTCGCACGATTTGAATGATTTTGTTTATCGGAAAGGAGGAGAATATAGTGGGGACGATTGCATGCTATGGTCAATAATTGTGAAGATGTAGAACACAGCGTTGAAAGAAGTGCTTTTCAGCTGCAAAATAGCGAATTTTCGGATGATTTCCGCTGAAGCCCATCAGGCTGTGTCGAGGCCACTTCAAGCGGACCAATCACAGTGCTGTATCATTTAATCTCAAAAAGGCACAGCATTGGGAAGATCATTAACACCGTTTAGGTAAGCTAAACATCAACAAGACCCCGAAAATAACAGGTCATATAAATAACAAAATAATGCGCGCAGAAACGAGCATCGACCAACAGCTACACCGATTGCGGATATCTGGAAGCCCAGCGCAACTTGAAATGGAACGACAAGTTAGCTGCATCGGATTTATCCTGCTACGCGGGAGCGGGTGATGCTATCACTGGCAGTTCTCGAGAACAAAGAGAGGTGGCGCAGTTGACGGTCATTGGGCTGAGGCGGGAAGTGTTAGACAGGTACCATAACAATAAACAACGGTGCACTGCCGTGAAGTCCTCCGAGAGTTCCCAGGCACGCCAACACGCGCGCTGTCTTGCGCAGCGCCTCCCCTCCACGTGCAGATCACCCTGCGCGCGCCGTCTGCGGCGCCGGCGTCGGCAGGGACGGGCCTCTCCGGTCGGTGGCATGCTGCGGGCCCATCGTCCGGGCGCCGAGCGGCCGGCCCTGCATCAGGCCGCCAGCTCGAACCACACTTCGTTCTTGCGGTTCCAGAACTTCACCAGGAGGTCGTAGTTGACGCTGGGGGTGCGGAGGAGCGGTCAGCGACGCTAGGCCATGGCGTGGTCAAGTTACTGGGTGCGGAGCAAATAAGTAGCCTGCCCAACACTCAGCGTGAGGAATCGCCTTTCTTGTAAACGCGGTTCAAGAGATCTCCGTGATGTTGAAGTGCATGTGTTTCGGCTCATTTCAGGTATCATTTAGCACAGACGAGCAACAACGTCCCTTCCCTTCCCTTGCCTTAGAATCAAGGGCATTGTGCCGAATGGCAAGGAGATTTGAGTGCCTTATTATAGCTTTGTGGAGATTTCACGTTTTGTGCCCCATTTCCTCTGCATTTGTTGTCCGCTGAACCTATAAAATGTGACGACGCACCACTTTTTAACTACCAGTCTCTAGCCATGCGTTGTTTGCATGATTGTCTTATTTTGGATGCAGACGGACAATTGCGTGCATCCAAACCGTCGATGACGTGCGCCATCGCTAACTTTGCCGTCATTGGTCACTTTCGCGTTTGAATCGGTGAGATGGCGAACGCTTTTTCTGTGATTATCTGTGATCGGTGGCATGCGCGGTTATGGATGGCAATCAAAATGACGAAACACAGCCTGGTAATTTCCTTGCGTCGCTGCCCATCTGCTGTGTGATTAGCCTCCACTCGCGCGACGTCTGTTCGCCATCATTCGTATCTGTTTTCGACGGCCGCCGGGCATTCAGAGATCGGGAGGTAATGCCGCGCAGCAGCGCGTGCCACCGTAATCTTCTGAAAATCGTCGCTTCTGCTCTCGAATACAAACCAGGCACCACCATGGTCCGTGTTTTTAGGTGACCAAAGGCAGGAGCTCTTGTCTCATTTTAAGTGCCCTGACTTTTTGACTGGTCTACTGACGAGGCTTTAGCCGTAAGTCGAAGGTTGTCTTCTAGTGTCTCTTGCGCCGCTATTGGTCACTAACCCCAGCCTGCTCACAGGGTGCTAGTCCAGCTGCATTGCGGCACATACCCTCCTCACTGGCCCATGCTGCCGGCACGAGAGGCCCACCACAACACGGGCGCCGGGCAGCCCCTGACCTCGGCCCGCCTGCCGTGGCGGATAGTAACAGCTGAGGCTGACCTGTAGTACTTGGTGAAGTCGATGCCCTGCAGGCCCTGCTCGCGGCTGATCTTCTCGAGGAGGAACGCCGCCCGGTCCCAGCCGCGTCGGTACAGCACGAACCCGCCGAACCGTCTGCAACGGGGCGCAGCTGGGTGACGCCCTGGGGAGCGATTCGAGGTCATGCTGACCCCGGTGACCGCGCCAGAACCTCAGCCACCCGGTCCGTAGTCGCCATGCTGGGCTCCTGTAGCCCAATTCAGCAGGGAGTGGGCTAGCCGGGTTCAGCAGGGCGACTGTGGTCCGGGTGACCGAGATTTATGGTGGAGTGCTGGAACCTTCGGCAGTCGCCCTACGTTCAAGCGGGGCTGTCACTTTCTATAGTCTCGGGGACCTGCGTTCTTTCAATTTTGTCCTCACCCCACCCAACCCCCCCCCCCCCTAAAACCCATCTGAGCACCCTTAATGCATCTGGGCAAAAAAGAAACGCCGGGCCGAAGAAATGCAGGAATGTGGTTGTAGCTACAAGTATTAAGTGCATCAAGTACTCAGACACTTAAGTATTGAAATCTTGGCAATCTCCTACCAAAAAGTATTCTGTAGCCACTTCATGTTTTTGTCATGCCAGCTCATTCATATGGTAGGTCAGTCAGCAAACGTTCCGCAAGTTTTGCACGTAGTAGCACCTGAACTGGAATAAAGAACAACTGGCCGCAATATGCGGCAGCTTTTAAAGCACAGGATGACCAAGGCATGAGTTAACCCATGTTTTCCGCAACAGCGGCAAGTGGATTTGTCGCACAGTCGTGACAGATGGTATTCAGCTGCCAATCAAATGGCGAAACACGATTAGCGACAGCGGGCTCCGCGCCCATCAAACCGTGACAAGCAAAGCGGCTCCAGATGAGCTGCTTGGCGGGCCAGGGTGTGCAACAGCTGAACCTGCTGCGGGTGAGATTGTACGGCCGATTGTCCACGATGATGCGCTCTATTTTGACAGCAATTTTTTACGATTGTGTTAATGTTTTGCTTTAACATCGAGGACGTAATGAAGTGGTCGAGATTCAGCCAGATGTTAAGTTTTGGGGGTAGGTTAGCGTAACGCTATGGGCTCAGCCCCCCCCCCCTTCTATGAAAATATGCCTTAAAAAGTGACACCCCTGTGTGACAGTGACACCCCAGGAGCACCTTGAGCACCGATGAACCCGTGTTACGGTCACCCCATATCCTGGTCACTCCGAGCCAGCACCACCCTGGTCGCTCTGAGCCAGCCCATCCCATATCCTGGTCACTCCGAACCAGCACCATCCCTGGTCGCTCTGAGCCAGCCCGCCCCGTGTCCTGGTCACCCCGAGCCAGCACCACCCCTGGTCACTCTGAGCCAGCCCACCCCATCCTGGTCACTCCGAGCCAGCACCAACCCTAGTCGCTCTGAGCCAGCCCACCCCGTGTCACTCCGAGCCAGCGCCACCCGTGCACTGGTCACTTTGAGTCCTGACCACCCCTTCCCTGGACACCCCATGCACTGGTCACCCCGGGCCGTGGCCACCCGAGCCGCGGCAGTGCCTGGCCGGTCCGGTCTGGCCGCTCCCCCTCCCTCCCCGCACCCGCTCTCCGTCACAGCCGACGTCCACTCACCGGACCACGAACGTCTTGGCCGGCCACAAAGTGAGCTCAACGTTCGGGTCGTCGGGCGTCGGCGGGCTGCTCTGGAGCGCCCTCGGGATGTAGAAGCACATGTTGTAGGTGGGGTACTCGGAGTAGGCGTCGAACCGGTTCGTCAGCGGCAGCGTCATCTGGATCTTCTCGTCTGCGGGCGCCGTGTCGGTGTCAGCGGGCGCTGATCAGCGTCGGTGCGGTGCGGGAGGGGAACGCCGTCACAGGCTATGTTCCGGCCATCACTGGCTCAATATCTGAACGGATTCACGCGTGGCAGGCAAGTAATGTGTCATCATTCACTCGCCAATTCATTCATCATTCCACCGTTTCACTTTCGAAAATGTCACCCGCTGAATTATTGTCCGTTGAATGGCGTAAACAATGAAATAGGATACCAGGTTTATCAGGCTAAGAAGGCATTATCTAATTGCACCTCCCCGAAATACCTTCCGGCCATGACAGACCAATGGTGCAGGCGTTGCATACGAGCAACTGCAGGCAAGTCCACATCTTGGTAGTGATTCCGTGTGTGTTTAGTGTTGGAACACTCGAAGTCTTGGTCGGTGTTCACGAACATCGCTCCAGCACGCTGCGATGGTGTGTCTCAAATTCGGCGCGCCTAAGCCGATACAACTTGGCCTATGCAAACTGCGCAGACGGATGCTTGTGTTATTTGTGATCGATATCCTGCCATTTGCATATCCTGCCATAGCATTTGCGTTGTTCCACACTTTGCTTACAGTCTCCAAAACTGCAAGCCATCTCACCGTAAATCCTCTGGATTTCACCTGCTGAAATTGCCAGGCCCGGCTGATGCCAGAGCCATGTGTAAGAGGTACAGTCACCCAGTCCTAAGACTCTCTCCCCATGCTGGCAGCCAATGATCGGTGACGTCACATGCCAGGGGTGAGTTCGCTTTGCAGGCCAGTTACGAATGTCCCGCCTCTGGCCAGAACCCGTAAAAACAATTTCCCATAGAACTCGGTCAACAACATGTATGTGCGAAATTGGCGTGCGAACCTTACAGTAATGAGCCTGCGTCTGTCAAAGCTCTCACAGACTGCTGGCTTTCCCACTTTCAGTTTCCAGGTGGAGCCGGTGGTGAGCATGACCCGCGATAGCACGCCAGCTGGGTGTCTCCAGAACGGACGAGATGTGACCGCTGCGGCGGAGATCACCCACTAGCCGGGCTGCGAAGTGAAGCGCTCTTCGCACCCCGTCTAGATGACACGCGACCGTTTCGCTTCAGGATGGACAGGCAGTGGAGGATGTGAGGAAGACGCGGCTTTTGGCAGCGAGTTTTAGAACTTCAGGGGTAAAGTAATGTCGCATTTTGAACAGGGATACGATGACTGCATCACAGCGCCGAACGAATGATGAGATGTGAGGTTCCCAGTTGACGTAGCAGAGGGGTTTTTTGCATGAGTTGGGCAATTGACGTGATGCATTGCACCTGATGAGCAAGTCTGCCTTTTGGGGTTTAGTTTAAGGCTGCTTAACTGAAACCAGTTTTAAAGGCACTAAACGAACTCCCCGACCCGGGTTTTCGGGTTAGACAGGCCCACGACATGGCGCGTGGCGGAGTCAAGGAGTCGGATGTCATTGTCGTAGGATAGCAGACGGCCGTAGGGCAAGAAGCTGTATAGAGATGTGTCATTGAGGAAGATGAGGAACAGGATTGGGTCGATAAGGCATTGCTGGGTCTCCTGTCGGATAAGGGTAGAGTGACCGAGACACCACTAAGCACCTGCTTCCGACCGTCCAGGTAGTCCCGGAACCATTCCGAGGACACCCCACGCCATTCCAGCTTGCTCGGAGGACGCCATGACCAACGCTGTCGAACGCCTTGCTATGGTCAATCGTCGTTATCGACGCGTCATGGCCGTTGTCGCCAGCTCTTGTCAGCCAATCGACAGCGTCGATTAGGGCGCCCTCTGTCGAGTGACAGGGATGATTAGCATATTGTGATGGCGTCAATCAGTTTATGGTTGAAAAATGGTAAGAGGTGAGCTGCGAGCAGACGACTCTCTCCGTAATTTTCGACGTACAGGGAGAATATAAATGGGTCGAAGGTTATTCATATCTGAACGATCGCCCGACTTGAATACTGGGGCAACGTGCGCGATCTTCCAGGCAGACGGAAAAGTCTGTGATGTCATAGACAAGGTGATAAGCTATTAAATTTGAGCCTCGATTACAGGAGGGTGTTTTTTCATTGCATTTAGAGGTACGCCATCGACGCCGACAGTCCTCGACGCGCCGATTTTGTCGATGGCTACAGAGAACTCTGAGAGAAGCTGGGTGTACGGAGAACGCTGAGGCCTACCCACGCTGCGGGCGCGATTCAGCTTGGGTCGTAGCCGCACCGCCACGCACCGCCGCCGCCTCCGCAGCGGCGCTGGGGTCAACGGCGGGCAAGTGTGCGTTGAGTGAATCCGCCCGGTTGCCCGTGTCGGGATCGGGTGTGTCACGCCCTCTTGCTGGCTGCAGTCCGAACTGCTTAATGCGGCTTCAGAGGCCTCGCCACCCGGCAGCAGACCGCTACACGGGTACGAGCCGGAGTGATCAGTCTCGTCAGTTTGTTACGGCATCGCTGGTGCACGCGGCGCGCCTCTGCGGTACGGTAGCGCTCCCGCGTCTCGCGGGCGTAGTCGCACCTCTCCATCTTCTGTACCTCCACGCAGTCATGAGCAGCCAGTTTGCCATGACGTCACACTGGTGGTCAGGTAATGAGCGTCGGCTGCGACGTCCCATACTATCACAAATGTCTCCACCTTATGACCGTCGGAGCCAGCGGCGCGCAGTGTTCCGATCGGCCAGCAGCAGACTCTGGTTGAACGCGCCCTAGTCGACGCGCTTCCAAGGTCGCACGGCGGTGGTGAATGACCGTCGGCGCTCCCTGCGGACGGGAGCGCAGAGTGCGACCAGTTGGTGGTCCTCCAGTCTCAAGGAGAACTTCGGCTGAGTTCCGGAGATCGGTCACACTGGCGATGATCAGGTCTAGCAGTGCTGGCGTCGCGGGGTGGCTTGTCGACCAGCTGTTTGCGGCTCATGACGGTCATGAGAGTTTAAAAGCCGGGCAGCCCGGGTAGAGGAGACTGCTGTTGTGGTTTCCCAGGACGAAAACCGGCTTTCCAGTGGCGACGGCGACCTTAAGCTGGTCTCAAACGGTCTCCACGCATCGGGACGTTGGTCCTCCCGGAGGTCGGTAGGTGGCGCCGATCATCACCGCGGCGGCCGGGGCAGCTCACCGAGAGCCGCGGGGATTCTATCCAAGGATCGGTATCGCCCAGGCTGGATCTGCTGGGCTGTGGTCGGCCGGACGACACCGCGGTCAGACCCCAGTATGCTGAGACCCGACAATGGCAGCGGCCTGTCGAGTACATCGCGCGTGAGCCAGGTCACAAACACACACGGGATGTCCATGTGGTGTTTCTGCAGGAGCTGGTGAACCTCGTCCAGTCGGGGTGTCAGCGATCGGGCACCGACATGCCCTGTAATATCGATATCGATGCCCCTTGGGGCCCGTGGGCTCAGCCGCGCCGCCGCGGGCGCACGCTCACGGTTATCCACGGCACGGTTCACCTGGCGGGCTGCACTGGCGTCTGTAGGCCGGTGCGCTAGATAGGTGCGTGATTTATGTTAGCACTGTCTGATTAGGGTGGGTAACCGAAAATTGATTCCAACATAATTGCTACCGAGCAACCAAACGCATATTATCGTTGTGAAATGGTAACTTATCGTTCAACTCCAAGATGGTTTTGGCTCGATACAGCTATGTTAAGAAACAAACCGTTTAAAACGGGCCACTGCAGCACGTTTGAGGGCAGCCATCTGGATTTGGGGATTTGTATTGCTTTCTGTGTGTATTGTCGATGACGATCATGTTCCGAAAATTATCAAAGATAAACCAGGGTGAACGGGCTTATAAACACCGATCATTTCCTCCGAGATTTTTTGTTGTTTGTGACATCAATCAGCATTCCGAACATTTTCCGCCGTTCCCGATGATTATCTCAGATTATAGCCCGCCCAAGCGCGGCCCCAATTCCCGAGAAGAGCTAACAGGCTCATAAATAGCATGGGGCTCTCTTTATTGCCTTGCCGCATCGTTAGTTACCAAGTGTGGGTCATGACAGCCAAGACGAGGGCCAGAAGTGGCCTGGTAACGGAGAAGAGGTCAGAGTGTCGCCAGGTGGAGTTCTTTTTCTTTCCAGCTTCTCTCTTCCTCTTCTTTCTTTTTGTCTCTTCGCTGATCTCCCTTTTGAAAACTATTCATGAGTTAACTTATTTCTGACGCGGGACGCAACATGCACTGCTTTAGCAGTATCACTCGTGTCACATGCTTCTGTGCAAGAGCATCAATGAACGGATACAATAGTAATAAACATCCCAGCCGATACTTATCATAACGCTGACGAGAGTGGGTCGCGCACACAACAGCGTGGGTCAAACATCTTGGGACTGCAACGCCAGTGCATAAACCGGTTGAGCAAAGCGGGAGCGTTTCACCCAGCAGTACGCTCGCCCCCGTGCCGCCACCCCTCGTGGCCTGCCCGCCCCGACGCCTGCACCGCCGCCCGCGATTCACGCCCCGTGGCTCAGAAGCGGAGGAAAGTGGGACACGACCCGGCCGTCTTGACGAGTCGGGCGCCCGTTACATCTGGGCCGCCGGTTAGTTCGGCCCTGATCGCCGCGACGGGACGCATGACCAGCCGGTGCACTGGCCGGCACGTGCGGGCCGTGCCAGATAGCATCATCGGCCGTCCGACTCGGAAGCCTTCATCCACCGCCCAACAAAAGCATTCGTGACTCCGCCATGGACACAGCTTACTCAATTATTCACGGCGTGCGGCGAGTGGCCGGATCGACGGGCTTAGTCTCCATTAAAGCGTATGACTGGCCGATCTGCTATCAGCGCCAGCCTGGGCGCTGGCCGGGCGGCGTGCGCCGCGCCTGCGCCCGCCTCCGGAACCCCCGGTGGTCCGGGAGGGCGCCCCGCCAGCTCGGCGCCGACCGAGCGCACGTGTGCCGTGGCCCACTGCCCTGCCGCCGTCGCGGTAGGTCAGCAGCGCCGCCGGGGTCACACCGACCGCCTCCGTGTCGGCGCCGTACCGCCGACAGGCGACCTGCACGTCTGGCCTCCTCCGCGTCCCAGCTTTCTCCGTGCATAGACGGGCTTTCCGAGAACGGAGGTGAGCGCGTTTCACTTTTAATGAAGGATGTCTTCGGATGAGCCGGAAGGTGCAGCTTGCCTTGCAATTGACGGGGTAATTGCATTGCATGTGTGCGGCGTCCCATTTGGAAAATGTGGTGAGTGCCGAGGCATGTCCTCCATGCCGCATCTGCTTAAGTGCGACTACAGGCGGCTTCTGAATGATGTTTGAATTTCCTATGTCCTGCGTTCCCTGCGTCGCTTCCTCGCCAAGTCTTGTTGTTTCGCCAGCTCGCTCCCCAGCCATTGTTACCTGAGTCCCGTTACAGCACGGCTGTCGACGTCAGTACAGTCGTCTGATTCACTTGCTTATAGCGGATACTGTGTAGCCGAATTGCCAAAAAGAATTAAATGAATTTGGAAGCCGTGAGATCTTTCGTTTTTGGTACCGCGTCGGCACCGGCAAAAGAACACCGAGACACAAGAGTGAGCCTCGTTTGGGTTTGGTTTTAGGTACATTGCCCTATCAAGTGTGCGTTGTGCTGTACATCTCGAGCCGAAACAGGCCAGACAGTCAAGACCAGACGAAGTCTCCCTTGATACGATGGTACGCTGACTGCACCCACAGGAGAAGAAAGCTGGGTGAAGAGTCAGCCAGGCTCATGACCAAATGTGTCAAAATCCTGATATGTTGGGTGCGTTTTTATGTGTATTGTCTCTTGCGTTTGGATTTCTTGTCTCAGTTACATCTTACTATTATCAGTAAAATTGATCATGTCTGGGGGCTTGTCGGGAATTTGGCAGTCTTGGGAATATCCAGCCGTCTTTTATCTTCATCGACATAGGGACACCTTAATATGCATTTGTTTGATGAAATATTGACGGCAATGAAGCCCGAGTGTTCTGCTTGTACAGCATGCAATTCGGTTCTTGTTACTTTACATCAGAACCTTCTTCATTTTAGTAGCATAACACACCTCCCCGCAGACAACCTGTGACGTGGAATGGCGCCTCAGTGCCGTCAGTGCAACGCCACTGACACCACACGCATGCCCTGAGCTCGCCACCGTGACAGGCGTCCCCGGTGTCGGTCCTGGCCGATGGCCTGCCGGTCCGCGCATGGTGGCCCGGTAGGCTACCATACCGGACGCGGATGTCGTCGGCTCTGAGCGCTGACATAATCAGCGTAGTCGCCAGCTCTCCTAGCTGGGGAGTTGCGCAGCGAAATGTGCCGGGCATTGAAGTGCTGTACGCGATTGCAGTGGGTCATGTCAGCATCTAGAGATCATGCCAGTCGAGAATAGAGCCCGCAGGAGCTCTATTCCTCTCCCCAGGAGCAGGGCCGGCCGCATGACTGAGGCTGGCCCTGGATCAGTCATGTAGGCGCGGCTCTGCGCCTACATGACTGGGGCTGCAGCGCGAGCACGCCGTCGGCTCACCTCTGCTGTTCTCGCCGGAGAAATACTTGAAGAGCCGGTCGAACATGAGCTTGGTGCGGTTCCACTGGACAGCCTCTTCTTCGACGGGCTCGACGGTGACTGGCTCGGCCGTGCATGCCCAGCGCTGCGACGGGTAGTGTCGGACCTCGTAGCCTGCTTCCTGCCGCGTCCAGAACGGCGAGCGCGTCATTCAGGGCCGCCGCCGCCTTGCCGCAGTCCACGTGCCGGCCATTCGTGCATGGTGGGAACGCGGCAGCTTTTTGATCTCACAATCCCAATAAAGTGAGCTCCACAGCGACCCTTTAGGTGCCGTGACCTGGACAGTGATAAACCTGTGCGAGCGGTAAGGGATGGGAAAAGCTGATTAACTCGTTTGCGACATTACCACCAAAGTCGTAAATAACCAACGTGGAGAAAACAGCACAGCGTCACTTCCGCTGTCCGGCGCCGCCTTGTCCGACGCCTCAGGCCAGCTATTTGTTTCACCAATCCACTACCATCCATCACCTGCACCATTTAGCCCCGTCAAAATCTCATGAGCTTAATGCTACAAGCGCCGCGATATTTCTTGCCCACGCACACAACCGCCTTGGCGTGCAGACCATACAGCAGCACAATCCCACACAAGCCCGCCGCTCTCCATGGACGTTGCAAGCGTCCTAGACGCTTGAATTTTATCAGCCGTCCCCACTTGTTACCATTCACTGCCCGAAATCCCGTAAAGATCTCGAGAGGGTATATATATATATATATATATATATATATATATATATATATATATATATATATATGTATGTAAAGGAAACTAGGAAACTACACTGTCGCACGATTCAGCAAAGAGTTCAAGACGAATCCGAGGCTGTTTCTTCTTCCTTTAGCATACCTCATTTTTGTTGATGACCGTGTTGGGCGCGTAGTCGAACTCCGGGATGAGCTCGGTGACGCGATCGGAGACAGTAGCTAGGTCGATGTTCTCGCCTATGTTCTTGGTGACGGCCGTGTACAGTTTGTCCGAGACGCCCGAGAACCAAGTGCCCAGCGAGTCGAGGATCGAGCCGACCTGGGACTCTTCGGCCGGCTCGCCGCCAGCCCCTGGCGGTGAGGTCTCCTGCCAAACAGGCGCAGGGTCAGGGGCTCCGCGGCACATGGTCTTCTCGCGCCACAGGTATAGGGGTCAGTGTCCTCCGTGGCGCAGGTATGGGGTCAAGATCATCCTTTGGCGCAGATACGGGGCCAGGGTTCTCCCGCGGCACTGGTACGGGGTCAGGATCCTCCTGCGGTACAAATACGGGACCAGAGTCCTCCCGCGGGACAGGTGCGGGGTCAGGATCCTCCTGTGGTACAGATATAGGCCAGGGTCCTCCTGCGGCACAGGTACGGTGTAAGGATCCTCCTGCGGTACAGATTCGGGGTCAGGATCCGCCTGCAACACAGGTACGGGGCCAGGTTCCATCTGTGGTACAGGTACGGGGTCAGAATCCTCGTGCGGTACAGATTCGGGGTCAGGATCCGCCTGCAACACAGGCACGCGGTCAGGATCCACCTGCAACACGGGTGCGGGGCCGGGTTCCATCTGTGGTAAAGGTACGGGGCCACGTTCCATCTGTGGCACAGGTACGGGTCCAGGATCCTCCTACGGTACAGATGCGTGGTACCCTCCTCCACCATCTGACCTCGGTTCTACTGAGGCCACGGGCATAGGACCAGGGCCTTGCCGCGGAAAAACACCGATTCAATATGTTCTGTTTTCCATATGCGCGTAGCGTGCTCGGCTTCCGCATATCAGATCTGGGCTCAATTACCTGCTGACGTCATCGGCTCTGAGCGCTGACATAATTAGAGTAGTCGCTAGTTCTCCATGGAGAGTTGCGCAGCGAAATGTGCCGGGTATTGGAGTGCTGCAGGCGATTACAGTGGGTTATGTCAGCATCTAGAGATCACGTCAGTCGAGAATAGAGCCCCTAACTCGCACGTGGAGGCCGAGCGCGCCCCAGCTGAGCTATGTTGCCGTCTCTCCTTCGGACTCCCAATCAGCGCAGATTCAGGGCGCTCTCGCTGTGTTGATTTGGAAGGCGGAGGCTCCATAGAAATGGTTTTGTTTACGCCAAACGTGACTGCCTGGGTCTTTACCGCCAGGCCTCTCGCGCGGAGTACGGCAGGGAAACCGAAGTTCATGATGTAGAGTCACGACCTCAGGACTGTTTCGTCACGATAGCTGAATACGCCACGACGTCCTGTGTGGGTCGCCGTTCGGTACAATGAGCTCTCACGCGGTACACAGAACAGGGTCCAAAGTCAGACCATTATGGTGTGGTCAGACGCGAGGGTCGGATCACCTGTGGAAGCTCTGCTTCTTTGAATGTGGTGGAACATAAATTGGTGGAAGCCAACGCTGCGAGTTTTCCGGCGCTGGGCAGAGGCGTCAATCTCCCATCGTCGTCGCGGGCTGCGAGGTTCTGACCGCTGTTGTCTGTAGAGATTCTCCCAGTCACACGGCGGAGTGCTGGAAGCCGTTCCACTAGCGCCCTTCCACTTCCACTGACGTGTCATGACTCAGCAGCGCGGTGAGATGCCGTGGTCGGCGGTAATGACACTCGACCCAAGTGTTACCGATGTCCGTGTTTGCCTCGTGAAACGCCGTGCTCGGGCACTGGCCGCGGAATCCGCTACCCACCTCACCCGCCTGGCTACCCGCCTCACAGGAAGTTCAACGTGATGATCAGTCACGAGCTGGTCTCATGGCTGAAGTTGAGTTCTCAGTGGGTTCTCAGAGGTAGGTAGGTAGGTCCAAACCCCCGCATTACTGCATTCTGGGTAGCGATGCTGTGACGTCATCATAGGACGACGTCAGATGGCACCAACGCTAGGGCGGCGTGTAAACACTGTTCTTTGAGGGCTGATTTAAACATAAATATGTCCGAAAGCCGAATTGTTTTCGACTTGGAGTTACCCATGTTATGATGGATGGGATGGAGTTACCCATTCACCAGGGACTCATCCCGAAGAACTCAAACCGGAAGTGCTTAGAAACAGTCTGTGTAAAAGAGTATAACGTGCAACAACAACAACATCTGTTGGAAATGACATACAGCGAGACAGACGGGCTCGCAGCACCCTAGGACGCGGCATTGAGAAGTTGGAATAAAGATCCTGTAGCCTTAGTGGGAGCGTTGTCATGGTGGATGCAGGGTTGGCCTGCCCTTATGGGGTTAGTGAGTGGTGAACCCCGGCAGCTAAAATGCAGCACGTGCCACTTCAGTTCAAGATAGCATAATTTTCCTGCGAAATAGGTTGGTTTCTGGCAATTTTTGCAACCTCTGCCACTCAAAGGGTCAAGGCCCATATCTGAGTTCCGGAATAGTCTAATAGGGATATTTTAGGGTGGTGGGATGTTATTCTCTGCGCACCATTTTTATCTAACCCATGCAACATCATAAATCTGCAAGTTGACCAGCACCTAGTAAGATCATAGCACAGCAACAGCGAAATTATTGGCACCTGCCTTCTTCACATTACCTTATTTTCACATTTTACTCCATATAGGTACTGCAGTGCAAAAATATATGCGTAGTCATTGCCCATTAACTACTTTAATGTAAATATATACCCAACTAACGTCTAACTAATTCTTTGGCAAATATATATCTTTGAATTTTCCTTTTTTCAAAAGCGCTTCACATATAGATATTCACGCGCGTTGGCCTCCACAAATATGGTGCGGGTGCCGCAACTAGAAAATGTGGTTTAGTAGGGTTTATCTTTGCAGTCAGATCCTGGTACTGAGTCGTATTTAGAAGGGTTTGAATGCAGAATTATTATATTGATTCATGAAACATTAAAATAAAAGTGTAGAACAGGGTTGTCATCCAGTTCAAGGGCAAACTCGCCGTTTAAAGTTATATGACTAGTATCTACCAACCTTTTCGTAGTATCAACCAAAAACCGCACTGCGGGCTATCAAATTTTAGTCCTGTGGTGACGTCACGTTTGCGTAGCCTTCTCTAGTACCCTTGGGTAGGTCGAGTTCTCATGGGTGTATCTCGAGTTCTCAGTAATCGAGTTCTCAGTTGACGAGTTCTCAGTTGTCGAGTTCTCAGTAGTCGAGTTCTCAGTAGGTAGGTAGACTTGGTTGCGGTGGCAGCCCACATTGGTGGCAACATTGCCAGCCCATTGGCCTCTTTCATCATTTTCCTAGCTCTGATATAATTAAACACAGACTAAATAGCTCTAACCTGACACAACACCGACGCGGCACTGCGTGAGTTGTCTCACCAAATGCGGCGACTGCCTGAAGATTCTTTATGATCTCCGGGTGAGATACGTGCGTACGGATCTCTGCATTCCTGTAACATTTACCCGTTCTGTTGTCTCGGTATTTCAGTTTATGGTGGGGTAATTGCAAACGCAATGAGCGTGGTCAGTAGATATCATCCCGACAGCACTAAACAGGCGCATGTACTGAAGAAACGCTGTGACCACAGGCGGACGAAAACAAAGTAAACTTAAGGGAACGTTCTTTTTGAGAGATGAGCAAGAAACTGATGAGGACTTCCTCGAAGACAATGATTTAAGCGGAAAATTTGACCATCGGTGTACGATTTGAGATGCAATCAAACTTCGACCAGAAATGTGGCACTTTAAATACATGTACCTTTGAAGAACATGCCAGATTTACTGCTGCATAAACGCGGATGGGATCCAGACTCAGTTAAGTTGGGCATTAACAGGTTGGTTTGGTCTGATCACTGATGGAAGCCGGATGTGATATCTTCCGACGAGCGTATGTCCTTGCAACCACCGCGTTACATTGAACAAATACATTATCGCGAATGAATCGCAGCTGCGACGATTTTCCCCGGGCAGAAGTGGACCCTTTTTCCAATGATTCAGAGGAATTTAAATAAGGACTTTAAGTCAAATTTTGCTTCATAACACCAAAGATATTCATGTTGAAATCCAAAAGGATTCGGCGAGTGCGCCTGAGACGCTTCTGATGTGTAGAAAGCTTGCCCGAATCCGACTGCACCACATGTTACTAATATGGGCGAGGAAACCCTGTTGACGGCCTATCACCCATGCAAACTCTTCATCATATATTACGTTCACACGCGTGCAAAGAACAACCAAATTTTTACCACGCTACTTTAACACCAGCGATATGAACAATTGCGGACACTCCTTAAACGCGAGGCGCGTATTGACCGAGTGATGAGCACCCTTGGCTCCCAGCCCCTCAGCGCTAGTACAACCTTTGCAGTCGCTGGCTCTCCGTAAAAGTTTGCGCGGCTACATTCATCGCGTTCCACTTTTTAAACGCAAAAAAGGCATGCCGTGCTCTTTCCTACAAACAGCGAAATCTTGCGTTTCATGCCTGGCTGCGCCATGATGGCGGGTGGGCGGGCCAACGTCCACATAACGGAATGCTGCGGAGCCCCTGACGGCTCGGTATGCAAGTCCGAGGCGGATGCGACCTCGCTGAAGAAAGAGAGAGAGAGAGAGAGAGAAAGAGAGAGAGAGAGAGAGAGAGAGAGAGAGAGAGAGAGAGAGAGAGGAGAGAGAGAGAGGGAGAGAGAGAGGGGAGGGAGAGAGAGAGAGAGAGAGAGAGAGAGAGAGAGAGAGAGGGAATGGAGAGAGGGAGGAAGAAAGAGGTTTATCTACATTGTCGGCAGTGGCGGGTTCCATTTACGGCGGTGTGACTTGAGATGGTCACTAGCACTCTTACGCAAGAATTAGTAGCGGGAGCGTAATTTGGTACCGAAATCGACATGCTCGAAAATCGGATAAGCAGGAGCAGGAACATGGTTTGCCATCAAGGTTAGCACATGTACGTACATGTAGCTCTTCACTCCGGTGGCATTTTTGTTTCATTAGCGTGTACCATTCGTCATTTGTCGATTGCGGTACTTTAATAGTTTACCTTCGAGGACATTTAAGCAAGCATCATAAACGATGTAATGAGCTCACTCATTATAATGAGTGAGCTTATGTACATAATTGTTGGCATACTTTTTGCGGAAAAGACTGCTCTATACAAAACAATTTCTCTATCTAGTAAATAGGCTACCCAATACATCATTGTTTGATTACGTCATCGTACCTAGCACAACA